CGGCAGTTTTGGGAGCCATATAGGATTTAGAGAGTCAGTAGAAATATTTATGTAGTTCGAAAACATCTGAACATTGTCTCGGCCCTCCGAGAAACTTCTAATACAAATCTCGTAAAAATGCTGAGGAACATATAAATTTAATCGGCAACATCACGAATCCTTTCCTCACATCATTTGTGCAATAATTGCGTTCCTGAGATACTTCAATTGGTGTTTAGATGGCGCCAAAAAACGCCTTGAAACGAGTTCAGCAGGTTAGTGCCTCCAGTTGCATAAGCCCGAGGGGATTATTTACATCTCCTGGGAAGCAGTAAAGCTCTTGCCCTTACTCTTTTTGGGCAAAAGAGTAGTGTGGATGTTGGGTAAGACACCACCACTCGCAAGAGTTACACCAGCGAGGAATTTGTTCAGTTCCTCATCGTTGCGGACAGCCAATTGAATATGACGAGGAATGATCCTAGTCTTCTTATGATCACGCGCAGCGTTACCGGCGAGCTCGAGAATCTCAGCGACGAGGTACTCCAAGACTGCAGCTAAGTAAACTGGCGCCCCAGAACCTACGCGTTTGGCATAACGCCCCTTCTTGAGGTATCTCGCGATACGGCCAACAGGGAACTGTAGCCCGGCCTTGGCGGACCGAGACTTAGCTCCGCTGCCACTCTTCTTGCCAGCCTTACCGCGTCCACCTTTGCCTTTGCCAGACATGTTTTGTTTATAAGCGAGTGTGAGAATGTGGGAGATGAAATGACGATGCGATATCATCCAGTGGCGCCTCACGCTCATTTTGATTAAAAAAGTGAAAAGTAACCGTCAGCTCCGCTGAAATCAATCGTAGACCGGGGACTTTACTAAAAAACGTGTGACATTTACAGACAATTCGACAAGATGGCGTTGATATTGCTTTGTTCGATGAAGCCAGTTTCCACTAAAGACACTGGTCAGAGAAGGGCTATAGCCCTTGAGGAGGTGGCTCCACCCCTCTCTGCGAGACGAGCCTCTGGCTCGGGGATTACCCTCCCACTAAGGGGGGGTATCCGTCCCAGTGATGATGGAAATGTGGTATCGAAAGGACCACAGCAATTTAATCTTGATCAGGATTCCGAGGCCCAGGCTGCTGGCTCGCCAGCGCACAGCCTGGAGAATTGCTGGAATGGTACCATACCGCCGGCTGTTCTCGGTTCAGGTTCTCAGTTCGACTGGGCCTCGGAGGCCCCTTCCGAGAGTGAAGATATAACCATGGAGCAGCTGGAGAAAGATCTTCTCGACGACTCTCCTCCCAGGGCCTCCGCCGTCCCGCCGCTTCAGCGCGTTAGGAAGCCTCTGAAGTCCTGCCGTGGCGAGGGGCCTCAGGCCTTAGCGACCTGCGATGCCCGTAAGGCAAGGAAGGGCCCTGCCGCCGGCTCTCAGGTACGCCAAGCGGCTCGCGGCTCCAGGGCACGTCGATCGTCCGTTGGCACATCGCTCCAAGATGTCGAGCTTCAACCCACTTACGACCTTCCCGACGACTCTGAACCCTCCCCCCGAGATCACTCTACCGGTCCCCTACCTCCTCCACAAGGTCGGTGCTCCCCGCAAGGGAAGGGCCCTGGGCCGGTTCCGGCGGCAATGGTGCAGATCATTGCGCTCTTGCGCACCCTGATTGGCACCTTGTCGCTGTGACCATAAGATAATTCGGGTAACCTTGCAGGACACCAAGCACGAGTATCCCAAGCGACCACAGCTGCGACTCACCAACTTTGAGAAGGTTCGAGAAGCAGCAGCAGCCATACCCGACAACTCCCCCGCCGCGGCCATTTCAGCAGGTCTCTCAGATGCTGTTGCTGCCAACACCCCCGTTATGGAGGGTCGCGACTCCCCTTCGTGGTGGAGCCGCAAGCTCACGAAGCTGAAACAGAGCCTTAACAAGGCGACCAAGAAGTGGAACAAGGCGAAGAGGGATGGCAACCTCATCGGAACCGAGCACTGGAAAGAAGAGCTGACTGAGAGAAGGAGACTCTTCAGGCTAGAAGCCCGAGCAGCCAAGAAGAGGGCAAGGGACCGCTTCTATGCGTCCCTCCAAGACTTCTCCAAGTGTATCCGGCCACCGACGGGTAAGTCAGCGGCAGCGATACTGAATGGCGACCCAAGCACCAACCAAGCAGCCCATCTGCTAGAGAAGCTATTCCCTCGGGACCCTAGGCGGTCCCAGGGGATGGCCCAGGTTCGCGTCGGTGTAGGCTCGGCAGATCGCATCCCAGCAGTAACCGAACAGGAGGTCTTGGAAGCCATCGGCCGTCTGAAGATCTCTGCCCCTGGGAGCGACGGCGTCAATGCTGAAGTTTTGAAGAAGACGGCGCCTGAGCTGGCGGCCAAATGGGCCACGGCCTTCACTGACATCCTTAGATCCGGCGAGTTCCCTGCCGAATGGAAGGAGGGCAAATGCATTGCCCTGGCCAAGCCCGGCCGCGACATCTTCCAGCCCTCGGGCTGGCGCCCAATAGTTCTCCTTAGGTGTGCCTCGAAGCTCTTAGAATCCGTGATAGCCGAAAGGCTTATCCACGGCCTAGGGGAGAAGTTCCGAGTGCCAGAGATTCATGGCTTCTGCCGGGGCCGAAGCTGCGACACTGCGCTGAGGAGAATCATCGACGCCTACCGAGCTGGCTGCGGGAAGAAGGGCCACCAGACCCTCCTCCTCACGTTGGACGAGTCCAATGCCTTCAATTCAGTAAGGCATTCGTTTCTTATCCAACAGCTCTCAGGCCTAGGCGTGGCTCCCTACCTCTGCACTGTGGTAAAATCCTGGCTCTCTGGACAACACGTCCAGCTGGAGTTTGGAGCTGACCAAGCGACCATCTCGCTAGAGAGAGGGGTCCCCCAAGGAAGCATCCTGGGACCCCTCCTCTACGCCACCTCCACCCTATCTTTGGCGTCGCTGCTCCGGCCCATCCCTGGCCTAACCTCGACTTTCTATGCCGATGATAAGACTTTGGTCCTGACGACCAAGGGCGTCCGAGAGTTCAGAGAGCGATGGCTCCAGATCGAGACTCGGATCTCGGATTGGTCGAGAGCCTCCGGCTCAGCCTCAACCCCAGTAAGTGTTATTACCTCTCGCCTAGGAAGCTTCAGGTATCAGCGCTGATGATCGACGGTAAGGCCATCGGCCGGGCCAAGGTCGTCACCATCCTAGGCCTGGCAGTGGACCAGCGACTGCTCTTCAGGGAGCACATCAAGCGAAAGACGGCCCAAGCTCGCTCCCGCCTAGGGCGATTACACGCCCTGGGTTGGGAACGGGCTGGGCTCGACACCAAGCGGATACTGAAGACCTACCACCTGGCCGTGCTGCCCTTCCTTGGGCACGCGGTCAGCGTCTGGGCGGGGGCACTGGAGAACCCGAATCTGGCCAAGGCCGTCGATAGCGTGTCCGGCCTGGCAGCGAGGATAGCCATTCGGGCCCCTCGCTCGGCCTCCCACGCCGCGGCGATGATGATGGCCGGCGTCACCCCGGCTAGCATCCAATTGAGAATGCTGGCAGGAAGATGCCGCGCCACCACAGGTACTCCTAGCGACCTAGCAGCGGCCCTTGGGCCTGGAGCGGCGGAATCGTCATGGCGAGTGGACCGGCGAGAGACCCATCCTCTCCCACCGTGGCTCCCCTCCCTTCCCGCCTCCATCCGCCCCAGAGAAGAAGCGGTCGAACTGGCATCGGCCTACCGAGGCCCCGCCATCTACACGGATGGCTCCAAGTTCGGCGATAGTGCCAGCGGGGCCTTCCTGGCTGTCAAAGGAGGAGAAGTGGTGGAGCGCCGAGCCTTTAAGCTTG